GTGATGTGTGCATGACAACTGTACAATGTAAACTGAACCATAGGCTGGTAAAACACCCAAATTCAGACAAATATTATGACCTCAGTGGCCCTGATCACCAGGATCAGAACTGTAGGATAACAACTGTATGTACAGTCCTCGCGTTCTACAAACATGCACTGAAATCTTCTGTGTAAAACCACCCACCTTCTCCCACAATGCCAAGGACTTCAAACTTATTCATCACATCACCAAGGGTGGGGACTCCTCCAGCAGGTGAAATGTGCTGCTCGGGTTTTAGCGAGGAGACTCCTGCTTTGACCGACGGCTGATGGATAGAACTGTAGAGTCCAGGAGAAACGTGGCAAGCGTCTGACCACACCCCATCTTCACTCCTCTTCTCCTTCTCCTTCTTCTTCTTCAGCTTCTCTCTTCCTCACTCTACAGCTCTCTTCCAGCCTTGCGTTTTTTGTTTTGTGTGTTAAATGTCACTTTCTTTTATTTATGGATCTGACTCAAGTTGCTTCAGTTGTCTCCAAACTCCCTCTATTCCATGTCTTGAGGTTTCACGTTTCGTGTTTCTATCCAAACCTCCGCGCAGCCGTACCTGGGAGATCAGAAACAAAATAGAAAGCAAGGAGTTAAAATATTCTGTCGAAGGGTCACTTCAAGGTCCAACTTCCCATCATTCCTTACACAGGCGGTAGCATGCTGGTGCTACTCCTGGAACAGATGGTGGCTAACTAGGACAAGTAGCCTAGATGTACAAGACGGCAGCATTTCCTTGAGGACACATTTAAATCATGGATGACTTAAGCCTGACTTCCACACACTCACCCTCCCTTCTGTTCCAATCAGCCCCACATTCAACCTGGAGGATGCTGCAAGGATGACGGTCAGGAGTGAATACAGTCTATAATAACTGGCAGCAGTATTTAAGCCATGTCTGATTTACACAGGTTTAACTTTGGTCCAGACTGGAATATCTCAGCAACAATTGGATGCCATAAAATTTTGACAGTCCTCAGAGGATCAAACTTACTGGTGATCCCCTGATTTTTTCCTCTAATGACAACGTTTTTGTTTTTTCACAACTATTTGATGGTTTTCCATGAAATTTGGTACAAACAGACATCCGTGTGGTCATCCCCTGAGATCAAAATGGTGCATATTCTACATTTACACACACTTATTATTTTGTTTTAATAAGAAAACAAACAAAAAAATGCTCAGAACAATTATATCCAAAGGCTTAGATCTCCTCCTGTCTCACATCCAAAAACTGACCACGATTATTAAATGCCTCTTTTGTAATGTGAATGCTGTTGGAGTGGAACCATCAAAGCTTCTCACAATATCAGTCCAACTTCATTTGTATAACACTTGATTTATTCAGCAGTGCAAAAACACTTTAATGTTGATTTGGCTCATGTGCCTGTGTGGGCGTTTTCCTATGCAGTGTGCACTCCACACAGCGAAGTCTTTCCAGGGGAAGAGATAAGGTGGATGTTGAGGCCATCAGTGGCTAGTCATTTAAGGATATGGTGCTGCCACTGGGGAGTGATTACACCCTTGATGTATCTTATCTGAATAGGCAAATAGACCCTAAAAACCTGCAACTGGAGCAAACCAGGATGCGTTATTTCCTATTCTGAAGGAAAAATGTTCCTGAAAAATGGATCCAGCAGAGAGTCTGTTTATTGATAAGCTGCTGCTTCTCCTTGCAGCCATCAGACAGACAGCTGCTAAATGGAAACAAGGTGCAAAAAGCACCGTGAAAAGTCCTCAAAATATTGATAGGATGGAGTGAAACATTCATCTAGCAACAAATGCCTGTTGGTGTCTGCATGCACAGAAAGCCACGGGAATGAGTGAGTTTGGGAGTGTGAATTTAATAGGCAGGTGCGTGCGTCCGCGTGCACGAGTGTATGTGTGTGCGCGTGTACATGAGGTGAGAGAAAGAGAGAGAGAGAGGGTAGTAATGCTGCTCTCTCTGCACCGAAACTGCGTCTCTCTCATCGCTGCGTTGCGGAGCGCACCACCATTCCATCGCTGTCCACGCGTTTCTCAGCCTACACAGCAACCAGTGCATACATTATAACGTAGTTCACGGACCATGTTCACGACAGTGTTGCACAACAACATCCACAAATAGCGTTTACCCATAAACCCACATTTAGACATAATTTCACGCACGCGAAAAACATAAAAGATAAATGAAAAAAAATCCATCGTAGCCCTTCAACCATTAAACCAACGAACCGCTTGTTACCTGCAGATGTGATGTGTCGCCTGTGTGAGGTGAGAACGGTCAATCTGTGAAGCACGGAGCACCATGCCCATGAAAATGATGATGTGGGAAGACGAAGAAACATCATGTGGAGTGACAGAGGAGGGGAGGCCTGCGCGTCGTGACACGATCAAATATCCTACTCACTTATTCTCCGGATGGATATGAGACCAAATCCGCAGGCACAACGCCGATGAGGGGTATCCATGTACCGTCAACAGTTCTTCAGAGGCTCCGTGTTCGTAGCCTCAGCATCAGCTGGTTATAGCAGCAAAATCGTCATTCTTCTGAGCGACGCTGCGGACAGCCAATAGGAGCGCGGACGTCGGCGCGTTCCAGCAGTGGTTTTATATCCACTGTGAGGTGCGATGAAATAAAACTTGGATGGAAAAGGAATCCAGCTCGTAATTTGTTAAATCTTAAACATGCCGGGTATCAATCTTCCTCCAATAACACACAGACTTTACACTGTCAGTTCCTGATAGCGCTGTTCCACCCCCCCACCCCCCACCCCCCCTTTAGTGATGTGTCCCTGATTAAAAAATCTTCCTACAGCTTGTCTTCACTCTCTGCCACCTACACCTCCCCTTCATGACTGCACTAATTGGCGAAATCAGTGTGAATTCACTGGATTTTCAGACACTAGGTCTGTTTCATAATGAGAAGGTGTTTATTTTTATTTTTATTTTAATTTTGTAAATTAAATGCTGCAGCCACAGCCTTCTCCCAGAGGCCATGTGTGCTGTGTTTGACCTCCACACCATCCTTTTGGCTCTTTGTTCTCACTGCAACAACTTTATCATACAGTTGTCAAGAAAATAAGAAAATAAAAAATGCCATTACAATGATTATGTTTGAAAGCAAATGTGGTTTCAAACTGCTTTAACCTCTGACAAGAATGTTTAATGTATTCAGATGAACTAATACTTTATTTTTCCTTTCACTGTCCAGCCGCCAGTGATGGAGGACCATTTCTAAAGTAAAGTAAATAAATACCCCATTACAACTACAGGCTAAAGGTCCAATATTACTACTGTATATAGCCTATGAACCTACATAACTATCAGAACAATGTGCTTTTCAAAATAAAAATAGCCTTTTCAATAAGGCCCTTTTCATAATGTTATAAACTGGATACTGGATTGCTGCATATAAGCATCTTTTTATTGATGTAGCTGACATGACAGGTAAATAATATAAGTACTTTATAAACTGTTGGATAGACTAAGCTTCAACAATGCATCATCATTTCTTAGATGATCATTTATTGTTTTGAAATGTTATAGGCTAAGGTCAGATAAATGTAGAGGTTATTTTGTCTGGGATGCAGTAGAGAAAGTATAAAGGAGCATAAAAATATTAGGCACAAGTAAGTACATTTGTAATTAAGTACACTACTTAAATAAATGCACCACAACACAAACTTTTTCCAAAGTGGCCTCTGTGATGCGACAGTGTAGCCTAACTCATCAGTATGTGTTACTCTACAGCCAGAGTCCTTGTCAAAGAAGAAAAAACATTCTCAACTAAATTTGATGCCAAATTATTTATTTATAAAATACTGTTGGAAGAGGTTCTCATGTATGTGGAGTTTTTGAGCAATCCACTCAGAACATTTCCTGATCATTCGATGGTTATCTTTTAATAATAATCAGCAGTAACTAAGTACATTTAGTCAAGTTCTGTACTTCAGACAAATTACAAATTTCTAATATTCTACTTGATACTTTTTACTTCATTACATTTCAGAGGGAAACACCGCACTCTTCACTCCTCTATATTACACTACCGGTCACTTCAGACACAAAACATATTATAAGTTTAAAATAAAGTAGGATTTACTTTACTGATGCCAGAGAACTTAAGTCTATTTATGTAGTTAGTTTATTTGACAGAGACAGGGCACACTGATCAAACTGTGACTGAGGAAAAGTTTAAAAGGCTTTTATCTGTCATCCCTGGTTAGAGGTTTAAAAGCCCTAAAAGTAGAGTAAACCAACATTTCTTACAAAATTCATGAACAGCAGATTATAAATGTACACAAAATAATACAATATACATCCACCAATAAACACATGGTTACAGTCCATTAAGGTAATGAGATATGATGCACCTTTACAGATCAAACTATGCAATGGGCTACATTTATATGCATCAATATAATAATCACTCTAAGAAGCACCATATATGCATAATGAGTAGGCTACAATTTGCTGATAATACTTTTTACTTAAGTAAAGCTTTAATGTAGCACAATATTTATACACTATTTGTACTTTTATGGGTCAAAATTATATTATATTTAATTATAATTATTTACTAATATTTTTTTCTTAATTGTGCTGGTTCATCGTAATATTACAACGGTCTGTTTATTTCATGTTATTCTTTAGTGTATCTTGTAATATTGTGTTTTTTTTCCCCCCCTCGTGCATCTGACCGGTCAGACCCTGCAGGTTTATGTCATCTGTGTCTTTCTCATCACCTTCTCCTGCCTGCAAAACAGGAAGCTGCAACCTAAATGTTCGTTGTTTTCGTTTCCACATGACATATAGTTTATTATCAAACCCCAACACGAAACAATATCGGTCTCAATAAGACGACTAATCAATTATCTTCTCCTTCTGTCTCTGCTTTTTTTTTTTTTTTTTTTTTTTTTTTTTTTTTTTTTTTTAACCTCCAGTGGAAAAATATGAATTACAGCACTGCGTGGTGGACATGCGCGGAGCTGCAGCGAATATGGCGGCTTGCATCTGATAGAAAGTGAGGAATCTCCCATCAAAATACCCTGTTCACACGGTTGGTACGGCTCATGTCTCATTATTACTCTCATGTGCTGCGAAAGACAAGGTTTCTCGCTCGTTTGTTTTCCGGGCTGCAGTCACAGGCTGACTAGCTTTTCCTGCCATTTGTCCATGCAGTGATAGATAGCAGAGCGTGTTTATACTGTAGTCTGTGCAGCCCGAGAGCTCGGTGCGTACAGTAGCTACATTGAACTCTGCAGATTTCCCTTTGCTTTCTGTTTACTGGATTCCTGCAGAGGATTTCACTGCAACTAAGAAACGGTTTGGCGCGAGCCTGCAGCCTCGTAGCATCGCCCCGTTGTTGTAATGTAACGTTAGCAGTGTTTAGCCTGTATAATGAGCACTGTCCCGCCCACTAAATGTGACCATAACCCAAATGAAAATGCGTCACAGACTTTTCTTCACATTTCATTTCTATCTTGTGCTTATTTAGTCTCTCTCTCATCCCAATCTAGACTCTACAAATGAAACAGGGGGGAAAAAAACACTGTCATTGATCAGCCGTACGTGCTACCTGCTTCCACTGAGGTTTAATGTAACACATCTTCAGTGATGTTATCAAGAAAAATACTGATGAAAGAATAGCCTAAGTTACCATCCTGGAGGTGACGCCCTGCAGCGGCTCACACCCCTCAGCCTCTCAGCAACAGTAATGTGATCCTCAGTCTCCTGTCTCCAAACTGTCCTGCCTGACAGAGGAAACAGCAGGCGAGGCTGAGGAGAGAGTTTCCAGTCTGGATTTGCATTTTGATCTCACTATTGTCACGTTTTTTTGTTTTGTTTTTTTTTAAAGAAAAAAGGGAACTTCCCCCTGTAGTCAACAGAAAGATGTGTTAATTTAAACCTACAATAACTTTGTCAACTTCTTTTTAAAGACTTGATGATTTAAATTAATTGCAAAAAAGATTAGTTGATGGATCAGTCTACACTTAATATTATGACAATCAGACAGTTGTTATATAAGATATTAACATTTGTTGGCTCAAGCTTCTAAAATGTGGGAATTTGCTGCTTTTTCTCTTTTTTATGCTTCTGTAAATTTATTGCTCTTTTGTCAAGTATTATCTGGCTGCAAGTTCTCGGGTGTAGAGCTGCAACTAGTGATTGTTTTCGTTATTGATGAATATGCCAATAATTTTCTGGATTAATAGATGAATGATTTTGTCAATATAATGTCTTTACAATCAGGACATATTGAGAACAGTTCAAAGATATTCAGTTTACAGTCACATAAAACAAAGAAAGGGAAGCAAATCCTCACACTGGGTTAGACAAGAAGCAGCAAATACTGTTTGTAGCAGTTTGGATAATAATTTAACATAATTTTTCGTTGTAGCAGGTCGACTCGTCAGTTAATCGACCAGTTGTTTCCAAGATTTGTTTTGTTTTTTTTGTTTTTTTTCTTTGTCTGTAAACTGAACATCTTCAGGTGTTGATCTTGTTGGTCGCACTAAACAAGCAATGAAGATGTCACTTTGTGCTGTATAGACAATTGTGATGGGCATTTTCACAATTTTCTGACATTTCACTTACCAAACAATGCATCAGTTAATCAAGAAAATTATCGTCAGACTGAACAATGATGAAAATAGTAAACAGTTGCAACTCCTATTGAAGTTTGAAGAGGCAAAAATCTATTAATAGCCTTTTTTGGAAAGATAAGTGACATTTGTTTTTACTGACTGCCCCCTGGTCCAAAAACAAAGTAAACTTTATTTTGGCTTGTGTTGATATTTTGATACTTTTTTTTTGACTCCATTACCATAAATAATTCTCAGTGAAGTTAAGGCCCTTTTTTATTTTTTTTTCTACCTGCACAAAAATATCCACTATCACTGTATATGCACATGTCCTGTGGATAATAATAATGGAAACATCATCTTTTCATTTACAAAATAAGATATTTGTCTTAGATTCTGTAAACATGTAAAAAAAAAACTATGCATGTGATCAGTTAGTGTTTAAACAATGAGTTGATTTATGGAAAACTGATCAACAGAAATTGAATCATCAGTGATAATTAGTTATCATTTAAGTTATTTATCAAGCCAAAATGCCAAACATTCTGGTTCCAGCTTTCTAAATGTGACGATTTGCTGCTTTTCTCTATTTTTGGATTATTGGACTGATGGCCGGACAAGTTAAGCAATATGAAGCAAACACCTTTGGAAGATGTGTTCCAAAGGTGACTTATAGACATTATTAATTAACTAATTGTAGAAGTATTTGACTGATTATAGATTTAGTAATGAAACAAATCATTAATTACAGCCCTGGTGTCAATGGAAAATGCTTCTCAGATACTTTATACTTATACTGTGTGAAGTAAAACAATGAAATAACAGTTTTTGTGTGAGCATCAAATATCCATATAAAGTAATAAATTATTGTTTTTATTATTATAACAAAAATCTATTTGTGTTAACTATAAAGTGAGGAAAAAAATAGTATCACCAACACTTCAACGGCTCATCAAACAAAAGTTACGACCAGGTCTCGGGTCATTTTTCAGATCCCCTCACTGTTCAGGTTTGTGAACGTTACACTAATCCCAGATCAGTGGCAGCCTAAGTGGAAATGGAGGTCGTAAAAATTAAGTGCTTCCTGGTCTACTGCGCGGTTTTGTCTGACCCTCTTGAGTGAGGCAGACAGACCAGTGCAAACATTGAACCAGTCTGAAGCTGAGCGAGGAGCAGAGCTGGAATCCTTTTCATGTCAGCCAGCAGATGTCCCACATCCACACGTCTTAATGGCTTTTTATGGCAGCTTGGAATCTTTATGGCTCCTTTTGACTCAATGGGATTCGCTGCAGAGACAGAGGGTTCTTCAGAGGGAGGGACAGCCACAATACATTGCAGATGCTAAAATTTTAAATCCCAAGGAGAGGAGACATTGTCTGGCCTCTGGAGTGATTTTAACCTTTGAATTTCTGTGTTTCATTTGGAATATATCGCTTTTTTTTTATGCTCCGCTGCCTTGGATCATCTCTCTGCTTCATTTTGAGCCTTCGTTATGTATGGACTTTGTAGGCAGGGGGACTGTGCTGAGAGTTTTTGTGAACCTGATCTGGATTTCTGGGGCAGACTTTCAGCATAAACAGTTTGGTAACAGTTTTATTTCATGAATTATTCTTGCAGTACATCAGAAGTAAGTGTTACTAGTGTGGCAAAGCTCTTAACTGAAACATTTTGACCTGAGGAATTCATGTGGACGTCACATACCATTTGTAGGACACTATTTCCCCTTTCATCAGCATGAGTGTGCACGTTGTCAGTGTTTATGCTGTATCATACTTATATTGCACAATTAATACGATTAGATGTTGTTATTGGGCTCTAAAGCATCCTTTTTATAACGGCTGTCCTTTTTGATGTATGAAGTTTCAGTAAATTATAGAATATGAGTTTATATCCCAGTTGTGAGTAACAGATGAGATGTTGTAGGATTATGGTAATCCAATCAGAAAAATATTTATAACTATCACTTTTGGCAGTTACAGAATGAAACCTGAAGCAAACACACTGAGGCAAAACAGTATTGTAGTGTAATATCAGTATATTCAAATGGAAGATTTGCTTTGATTATGAGATTATGAATGTAGGTATCTTAAAGAATGATCTTATTCTGTTTTTATTATTGTCAGCAAAGTCTATGAAAAGGCCTTAACTACAGTATGTTGGTCTGTCTCACATTGCTTTCCAACTGTCCTACCCAGTCTGCAGTACTGTTCCCTGGAGCTCGTTCATTCCTCCTGCAGACAAAAATCACTTCAAATGTGTTGCAAATATTTTGCTTAATTTCTAAAAAGGATGAAGTAGCTTTCTAAAAGAGCTCAGCTCTGTAGGTTTCAGCAAACGTTACTCAAACAGGAGTAAATAGTGCATTTGTTGGGGACTATATTTTTAGCCATGGATTAATACACATTTGGGGATGAATATTTACTGCCACAAGACTGTCAATGTGGGATTGAGTCAAAACAAACTACAGCACAAGTGTTCATGGTAATGTGTTCCTTCATTACAATAGAGCAGCTCACTGTGTTTTTAATAGTACAGAGGAATAGATTATTCCAGGCTTTGGCCTCACAGACAGGATTTGTTGGCTCAATCAGCTCATTGTTGATGTATTTGGGTTTTCATTGGATTTGTTGATGGTATGAAAATTATCACCAACCCTTAAAATAAAATAACAGGAAATAGAATACAGATATATCATAAAATTACCACTGTTCAAGTTTGTATAGCATGTTTTAACAGCAAGGCAAAGTGTTAACATAGGACATTAGGAAACAACAAAGGCACAACACATTTAAACAGGATTTAAAATAGTCAAATAAAATAGGTCATGAGAATGAGAATGTACATTAGAGTTGGCCTGTGTATTCTGGTATTTTTGAATATTCTGGATGAAGCTTTTGTTCTGTATCTGTCTCTCCTGCAGTGTTTGTGTAGGTAACAGTCTGTCTGACTTCACCTCCTCTGCAGCAGCACGTTGAAGTTTGGTCAACATGGGCCGAACACCACACAGAGGTAGGCCTTCACAATGCACTTTTTGCTGGTTGTCCTGTTGGACTTAGATTGATTCGCAAATGTATTAACAGACTGAAAAACCAATTTCGAAAAAAAAAAACGCTCAGAATGCTCCCAGACTTCTCCTCTTTGGTGTTTGCTATGCTTGACGTTTATTTTGCTTCTACTCAGAACTATTACAGACGCAGGTTTTATGCCTTCATTCTCACAGTAATTACAGTGTGCGTGTTTGAAGCTCCCAGGCTGATGAGCGGTTCAATCACCGTTTTGATTTCAGATCAAAAAGAGGAGAAGAAGGAGAGACGGAGCAGCATCACAGCAGGCTCTGCCCTCGACAAATCTAATGGTTGGGAATTCTGATTTCTGGCTTATTCCTTTTCATTGCTGATCCTTTCATTATAGTCTAATACAAAACTTTTTGAGTTAATAGCTTCTTTTTTCAGTCAGCTGGTTCTGTGTCAGTGCTTTCATTAACAGTGATCAGCTTTTCAGTAAATTCTTGAATGAGTTAACAAAAAGCACTTTTTGTATAAATCTCCATAAACTGCGCAGATTTAGCAACTGTAGCATAAACAAACATAAAATGAGCATTTCCCCCCTTTTTTTGTAAAATTATGAAACTTTGGTTACTGCTTAATTTCTTAGTGAAAAGTGTTTTTTTAAGCAACAAAATGTTTTGTAAACTGTGTTTTTACTCATTGCAGTACATTTGAGCACTTGTTGTAAATGGTTGTCTCTACTGTGCTGTCTCTCTCTCTCATGCATTTTGCTGTAACAATTCTTCAGTAATCTGTAGCTTAACCCTGTTTGCTTCTGTTGTTTCTGCTGCTAGAGCCGTTCAGCTGGGAAGATTACCTGAGAGAAACTTCCTCCATTGCAGCGTCGCCTACCTGCTTCAAACAGGTAGCTGATCATTGACATGCATAAGGCTCCATATCATTTATTTCCTTTGTATTGTTTCCTTAGATGCAAGTTGTTAAATGCAGTCTGCCGTGGCATATGACAAGCCTGTTCATTTTGATGTTGTGTAAATAGGTGTTGCTTAGTTGAAGGTGCTGTTTAAAGGATACGTCTGGTGTTATTCTATGTTTTTCTTATTGTGAGCAAAGACCAAAACCACCAATAAATAGATTCATCTAAAAAATGTTGTCTGTGCAGCCAAAGCCGGAGATATCTTATTCCTCTGTGCAGCAAAAGTCTCTTATTGTCCAAAAAATATTAAAAAAGTGACATTTTCCTTCATTATAATGAACATGGGCATGGAAGTGTATTTTAAAATAAGATACAATAAACAGGTTCTGTTGGTCTATCGCTGGAAATTCATTCAGTCATTTTTAAAGATTTACGTGTGCAGAAGGAACAAATGGGCTGAGTACCACAGACACACAAGCACTGAGAAAAGCACTAATATATGGCTGGTTTTGATCTGTTTGTGGGATTTGTTTAGAAAAATTGCCAGCCTTATCCTTTATTTACTGTAAATTAGAATTAGAAGTCCCAGTGTGCATAGTAAACTAACCTGTCAGATTATAACAATCCTTCTAACTGGGAAAACTGATAAGTGATCTGACACGGTGAAGACCATGTCCAGTGTCTTTACTGTGGTGTTTTTAATTGAGCAACTCAAATGAAATCCCAATTTAACAATGTCTCCTTTGATATTTGATCATACTGGTATTTAAGTAGAGTAAAATTTCTTCACAATACAAACTGCGTCACAGTGAACGATGGTCTCTTTGTGTCCCTCTACAGTCCAGAATCCCCCCCTCCAACGACTTCAAAGCAGGTATGAAACTTGAAGCACGGGACCCTCGCAACTCTAACTCAGTGTGCATTGCAACGGTGATGGGCATGATGGGTACTCGTCTACGCCTGCGTCTGGATGGTAGCGACAACACAAACGACTTCTGGCGGCTGGTCGACTCGTCGGACATCCAGCCAATAGGAACCTGCGAGAGGAACGGAGACATGCTGCAGCCACCACTGGGTGAGCGTCTTTCAACTGGTCACTGGCCAACGCTGAGACATTCATGTTTTTCGATCTGACTTTTTCCTTTCAGAGTTTGTTTGTGAAGTGGAACATTTGAATAATTACAGTTCTCAAACAAAAGTCTTAATCAATGTATGATAAATGCACTGGTTTTAAATTTTGTCTGACTTTCTCTGGTGCTTTCACCATGTCAGGTTACATTAAAACCTTGCAGGAGAAAAGCGGCTGCAGTTTTCTGAGTCAGGTGCTGCAGTTTCTCTCCTGCGGTTGCACCAACTGTGAACCAAATCTGTGACGACAGAACTTGATTGGCTGATTGGCTTAAAGCTTCACTGACACCCACGACGTGTGATGTGTTTTTCCATCCCATTTGTGTTAAGAACGTCTGATCCGTTATCTCCTATGGTTCTCTCTCACAAAGGAGATGCAATTTATTTGATTTCCTCCTTCTTCACAGCTTATTATTTACATGAGGGCACCGAACACTGTAGTTTTCATTTCCAAACAGTTTAGCTCAGGAGTTTATCATAATGCCCTTATAGGTCATATTTTTATCCTTCAGATTTCTTTTCGTTTCACCCCCGTTAATATGGTGGCCCTTGTTTTTTTCATAGTATTCTCAAGTGTATGGTTCAAATAAAGCAGAAAGAGATAAAAATCTGATCTCTGAAAGTGTTGCTCTATAGCAGGTATTAAATGTGTGATTTTTCTCACATACACCTTAACCCAACGCCATTGACGTTTTCATAAAACATTACTTAGATTCAATTTCATGAGTTTCAGAAGACTAATATAAACTTGTGTCTGGCCTGAAAATGTTTTGGAACAACATAACAGTGTGTATAGGTTTTGTAGAACAGTCAGAAATATTGAGAGTCACTTTTAGATAAAAAAAAAAAAAGAAAAAGCAGAACAGCTGTGCAGTGCTCTTGTGACACAAGTGTACAATGTGTTTGCATGTTGCTTATTGATGATACAATTTTGCAATAGAACAGGTGTTCTGTGTTTCTCTATTAGTCCACACTTTCTACTTCCTGTAGCGGCAGTGATGTTCACAATAGTCAGTTTTGGGCATATAAATATGTATGTGTATATATATATATATATATATATATATAGTGTCTGATTTGATGGCAGTCTTTTTATACCCCGGCATCTATAGTAGAAAAAGCACAGGTGTCATTCAGCCATCATTGATTTTAATATTTACACCTGTGTTTTTCCTACTGTGACGTATCAAAGTTTCTTCTGTTGAAAAGTTTTACACATGGACTTTGTTGGCATGGCTACTGTGTACTCGATTTAAACTGGAGTAGAGATCTGATCAGCCTGTGTAGATGTGCAGGGCCTGTAACTAGTGTTAAGTAGAGATTAGTGAGATTCTAATTATGTAATGGTGAATGTATTTAATATTAATGTGTACAAATTTATAGTTGTTGTGCAAATGGAATACCTGACAAATACCCAACAAGTCAAAGTGCTTCATCACAATGATGGAAAAAATAAGAATGATTTATTATTTATTTATGTATTTTACAGGTCCACTATTTCCTAATGACTTACTTCCTTTAAAGTTTCCTAGAAAGAACCAAGACCTACCCTCTGTACTCTGAATAAAGGTCTCAAGGTTGTGCTTGTTTAGCAGGTAGAAATTACTGAAGGTTTTTACCTATAATCACTACCAAATGATCTAGTTCTTTCCAGTAAACTTTTGAGGAGATTATTTGGAAATAAATTGGAATTTACAGACCTGTAAAATAAAGTGTTGTCCAAAACTCTTATAGAAATCCAGTATTAACATAAAGAGATGAGGCTCAATGATTTGCATCATTACCCACAAAGGACTGATACACCAAGAAATATGAAAGGGTTAGATATCCTGTTATTAATGGTGCTGTTGTGACGTATGCAGGTTTCAGGATGAATGCCTCCTCGTGGCCCATGTTCCTCCTGCGGACGCTGAGCGGAGCAGAGATGGCTCCTGCCTCTGCTTTTAAGAAGGTAATAATGACTTAAAGGCCGATACTCTAAAAGGTGCCATAACTTTGCACTGAGGGTTATTAGCTTAAAATTTTTAGATTTTGTGAAAAAGAGCGAAACAGCATTTAGAGTTTATCTTTAAATTTTTCAGTGAAAGCTATTATTGCAGTAACCAGCACAGACACAAGAGGGAGCCACTCACTAATCACACCCCATACAGTTCAGCCACAGTCCCAGTGAAAATGTATAGTATTTATTTATCACAGTGTTTTGCCAGCAGAGGCAGAAAAACAGTTTGTTTATGTTGCTGTTTAGATCAATAAAAATGTAATGATTTTTTTTGTCATTTGTACATTAAGTTAAATTGCTTTCAATATATTTTTTTTCATAATTACTGACTTAATATTGATTTTTTTTTAAAAGGACATTCTATAAAATGCGATTGACTCAGTGTTCAGAGTTTACTTTGCTTTTTGTTTGACTTTAAAACAGATTTTTCACATCACAGTATTTATTTGCTCACTTATATGTATACATATGTTTGTGTGTTTAGGAACCAGCCAGTCCTGCTAAAAACTACTTCCAGCCTGGTATGAAGCTGGAGGCGGTGGACAGAAAGAACCCCTACCTGATTTGTCCCGCCACAGTGGGAGAGGTCAGAGGTCAGGAGATTTTCGTCATGTTTGACGGCTGGCGAGGCGCCTTTGACTACTGGTGCCCCTTCGACTCCAGAGACATCTTCCCCGTCGGCTGGTGCACCCTGACGAAACACAGCCTGCAGCCGCCCGGAAACTTCTGTAAGTGCTCCTCTGCCTGTAGTGTTTTACTTGTTGCGCATTGTGTGGAGTTATTGTGGAGAGATTGTGAGTTCCACGTGCTGTGAGCAGTTTTGTGTCTCACGAACATTAGATGATAGAACTGGCGCTGATACCACAGGTATCACAGGTACTACAAAGTTGATAATATCATTATAATTTGGATCATGCATAAATATGGATCCAGAAAAAGACAAAACTGCTATAATTCTGTCGTGTTGTAATTTTTATACCCATATGAATAGCCCATATGTGCCCCTATTTTGTGAAAAATCTAATAAATAGTCTAATTAGCTATAAATAATTATGCTTAACATAACATAAAGAATAGAAAAGGACATTACTGCTCAGGTGCTGCTTGACTGAGACTGAGATTCATTTAATTTTCAGAATATGGTTGTTCAGTCCTACAGATTGCTTTTAAGTTATTGTCCTATCAGAAGTTAGAAGCTTGTTTGTGTCAATAGAAACTATTTTATTGTTCTTGTTTTGATTGTAGATTTGTGTTGCATCACTGATATTAAAAGGACATTATCCAATTTTCACCACTAGAGAGCAGCACAAGCACAAACTCTGATGCATCTCCGCCATCATTACAGGCTGTATGTTGAGTTTTGGCCACTGACGTCTCAGCTCTTGACTTTTCGAGTGAAGCAAAGACTGAAAAGCCAAAATCCATCTTGATTGTTCAGCGCTCTGACCTCCTGCACTCCTTCATCAGCCTTGGTACTGGGGGTCATATTTCTCCTCAGCTGTGTTAGGCAGTGGGAGCCAGACTAGAGCTGTTGTCGAGACAGAGAAGCCTTGTTCAGAGCGTCTTGAATCCAGGAAGCCTTGTTGTGACGAGGTCTCATTGAAGTGGGTCACAGTTTGCACCTCGTATCAGAATATGTCTCAGACACTCTTGATCAGATAAGATGTTCCTCTCACACTTCTTTGTTTGTTTGTTTGTTTGTTTGTTTGTTTGTTTCTACACACATGAATGTTTAGTTTAGTTGAGTTTAGTTTGTTTATTTATCAGCACAAGTAATAAAAAAAAGACCTCATACTTCCCAGAAGGGCTTGTATGTGTGTGTGTGTGATTTTCATAAGATCCTAAACCCTGAGTTAACATCTTCAGTGGTAACTGGTCACTATTTGAGAGCAACAAATTTGATCAAGGTCAGAGAAATAAAAACATTTTCATAGGTAAATAATAAACAGTAATGTTTTTAATAGTACCGTATGTCTTAAATATTAAACTTTTTAAAATGAGAATTATCCTTATTATATATACAGGATGTTACATCAGTGAACCAAAGAAAAGATAAACAGCATTTTATTGTTGTAGCTGGAGCTAATTTTAATTGCTTCATATACATCTGTGTCGTTTGATCTGAAAATATGCATCTTTGATTTGTATGTAAAATATTTATCTCCAGAGTAACTTGTAGCTATTGCTGTTAAATCGGTGTAGTGGGGTAAAAATTACAATATTGGTCTCTGAAATGTTGTAAAGTTGAAGTATAAAGTAGTAGTGAAAAAACTGCACTGTAAATGAATTTACTTTTTTATGTTACCTTCACCACTGATTATGTAAAATATTTAAAGCACTAACTGATAATTTTAATCAATAATATTACATATTATACCTGTATACATTTGGAATCTTACAGAAGGAAAAAAAATTAAGTAATTATAACATAATTATTAACTGTGTCAGTGTTTGTTCTTTTATTCTTATAATATGATGAATACTAGATTATAGTACCATTGTGTGACATGCATTAATTAGTTAGCAGTTAATTATATTTTAGGGTTATTAAGCATTAATTATTTCAGTGAGTGCTGAGCAGTGGAAGTGATTTTACTGAACATTTACTGGACCAGGACCCTAAGTTTTGTCAGCACTTGAATATGTTTGCTCTATTGTCCGGCTTGGGTAAAAGGTAGAAGAAATTAGGAAAAACCAAGTCAGTTTGCGACTGCTGAGGGCTGAATTTCATTTGTGTGTCCTGTGTGTGTTTTTTCCTCTGCTGCATGTTGACTTGTCTGGCTTTGCTGGTGGGGTTGTGACCCGCAGCTCTGACCTCCACTCTGCAGTCTGCAGAGTCGCTTGAATAGATTCCAGATTCAGTTCTTGTTCTCATATATTAGTGCTGCTTAACATAACCTCAGGCAGTTTTTTTTTTTTTATGTGTGATAGTTTGAGCTGTTCTTGGCTCCATTTTGCCCTTTTGATAGATGTGACAAAGCAGCTTGGCAGTTGGAGAAAAACAACAATTGCTGATTTTTCCACAAAGATAGTCGCATATTCCCAGAGTCATAGGACGTACGTCATCTAATATAACCAAGAAATACTTTAGTCTTCTGTAGGGACATCTTATTTGTCCTAATTGTATCCAAAGGCATTTTTTTCATTGTGAAGTAATTACATATTTAAGATATTTAAGATGTGACCTTTTTTCTTATAATGTAGTTTATTTGGAGAAAAATAATTGTGTTTTTCATTGAAAAATATATCTTATATCTCTTGAGACGTAGCGGGAAATACCACCAGTTGCCAAAATAAATCAAAATATTGTTCTCACGTGTTTTTTTGTACATTTTATTTTAGGAAAGTATTGTAATGTTATTTTAAACTTTAAAATCTTATAAAAACCTCAGATTATTGTTAGCTTAGTAATGTATCCTTAATGAATTATCCACAATCGAGAATAACTCACGTGCAAGCAGTAAGTGTAAGCAGGCTCCCAAAATCGATCATCATAAATTTTTTTTATTACCTTAACAATTTTATTACCAGGAAAAATGTTTGTTACGTTGCCTGTACAGTTGGAGTATTAGTTTGGACTTTTCAAAGAAGCTATTTTATTTGCCGGTGGCTTTGTAGAAGACGGCTGTTCTTTGACCAAGTTTGGGAACATGAATATTATTTTAATTGTATTTTTGTTTAATAAATCCTTATTTGATCAGGTCCCATTGAGGTTGGGAACCTCTTAAGCAAGGGAAACTTGTCTAAGATGGCAGCATGAAAACAAAGCAACAGCAAATCAGGCATTGGATGAAATAATAGTAAGAACAGAAAGGACCAGAGTGTGGGATTTAGTGAGCTTTGTTTTCAGAAATGCAATTTAATATTCCTAATTATTTTTTCATTAAGTATAATCACCTGAAACTAAGAATCATTGTGATTTCTTTGTTAGCTTTCAATGAGCCCTTCACATCTACATAGGGGGAAGGTCTTCTTCCATGGAGCCTGCCATGTTGCACGGCCATGTTTCTACAGTAGCCCACAACGGACAAACCAAACACTGGCTCTAGAGAGGGCCTTTCACATTTTTCCATTACCTGAAGGCCACCATAGTTCTCCTACACACTTGGAATGGGAGTGGTATTTAGTTGGTTATGAGCCGCAACCTCACCACTAGATGCCGCTAAAGCCGTCACACTGGTGCTTAAATTAGACAAGAAACTGCACGAGTAAAATGTCCAACAGACGTGGTAAAAACTTCAAACATTGAAAAACAAACAGGACGCTGTCGACGACAAAAGACGTGCTGCTGTCATCCTAAATGACACAGATGAAGCGATAACTTTTCAGTTAACCTCTTTCCATTTAGCTTTTTAATTAATGTTAGTTTATGTTAAATGTATTTATTGGATCTGTGACATAAATACTTTTTCATTAAAACTCATTTGCAGGAGATTCTTCTGCTTTTGCTGCTGAAGTCCACTGTGGCATTTGGTCTTTAAATGTTTTTAAAATATTAATAACCTAATATAATGTAAGTGCAAATTTATCTGAGACCTCTCGAGATAACAAAAACATTGTACCACTTCCTTCTGTGTTTTTATATCGTCCTAATTTTTCCAGGGACACCATGCAGGACCCTCGAACATCACTCAGACAAAACATTTCCTGTATGTGTCTATGGAAATTAGAGCTTTAATTGATATTGTTAAAGCGTGCAGGCAGTACTGAACTATTAATTATCAATCAGGATGTAATTATATGGTAATTACACTCAGCGGTTACAGGAGTATGTCGCTATGTGATTTGCTCTAATGCCGAAGCTTAATGTTCAAAGTTTGGCTGTTTAGTTTCTTTGGCAGATATTTAGACATTCGCCATCCATCAAAATCACTTTGACTAATGGCTGTGGAGTGAGTCTTTTGATTCTGAAACTGGAGGTTTTGATAAAGTTTAGCAGGTGTAATAAACAGCAATCATTCTCATGTTCGCTGTTATGTTACATCAGTTCACCATCCAGCAGTTTCCTCCCCTTCACCCTGTTGTTGGTTGAGCAACATGTGGCCTTGAAGTTCCCAGAACACCAAGCTTGATCAATCTGAGGTGTGTGCACATGTGTGTGTGTTTGTTTGGGTTTTCTCCTCTTAGTTGATGGATGACAGCAGTTACATGTCTGTCAGAGCATGTTGTCAGTCCTCAGGCTGTGAGGCAGTCATGTTATGACTACGTCCACACTACTACATTTTCATTTTCAAAAGGCGTTTTCACACAAAAACAATGTGTGTCCAGACGAGCGTTTTAGCTCCGTATCAGAAACGACTATCACAACTCAAAACGCATACATACCTGAGCAATCATGTACACTGGGCATGCGCAGTGTAAACAGGAAGCAGAGCGTAAACTCTGCAGTAGATTTGTTGCAATAAATACTACGGACGAGGAACAGCAAAGACAGCTGCAGTGTTAAAATGCAGAATGTAACTGCACAACAGCTGCTAGCAAAAACAACAAGGTCAGTAACGCTTGTAATTCGTGATCCATGTCGCTTTCACCACTTGTAGTCAAGGCTGATGAGACCCAATGGGGGAGCGACCACGGGTGTCTACGTCATCGCCTCCAAAGGTCTGTGTTTACGCCCGTCCAGACGACGCAGCCACCCCAGAGTTTTTCAAACTAAAACGGGGCCAGCAAAAGTCTCCGTTTTCGGTGCTCGAAAACGCAGGAGTAGTGTGGATCGGAGGCGAAAAAG